TGTTGTCTGTAATATTTAACAATGACTTTTAAGCCATGTGCCTAGTCGGAGCACTTTGGTCCATTTGTCAAGGGTTTTATTTATGTTCATCTAATCATATGATCATTCAATACAAATCATTAGATTCTTTTGCATTCAAATCTTTGTGTTCATTATCTTTATTTCAAATACATTTTTCAAAAAAATAGTCATGTATCTTACATGCACACACACACATACACTCTTGCAGGTCCTCATCCACTCTGGATCTTATTGATAATGACTCTACTATTGTCGACTATGACTTTGAGTGTCCAATTAACCATGTCGGAGACGAAGGCGAGGAAGATTGTGAAATACCGGGAGAACTAGCCAGACTTCTATTACAAGAGGAAAAAACTATCCAGCTGCACGAAGAGTCAGTTAAAGTCATCAATCTGGGTACTGAGATAGACAAGAGAGAGGTTAAGATCGGTGCTAACTTAGAAGATAGTGTCAAGAACAAGTTGGTTCAGATGTTGCATGATTATGTGGAAGTATTTGCTTGGTCTTATGAAGATATGCCAAGGTTGGATACCGACATCGTAGTTCATCGTCTGCCGACAAAAGAAGATTGTCCTCCTGTCAAACAAAAGGTTCGTCGCATGAGGCCTGATATGTATGAAAAGATAAAAGCTGAAGTGATTAAACAATTTGATGCAGGGTTCCTAGTTGTGACATCCTATCCCCAATGGGTTGCCAATGTGCTGTCAGTGCCAAAGAAAGACGGAAAAGTTTGCACGTGCGTAGACTATAGGGATCTGAATAGGGAAAGCCCTAAAGATGACTTCCCCTACCACACATTGACGTCTTGGTTGATAACACTGCTCAGCATAAAGTCTTCTATTTTATGGACGATTTCTCTGGCTATAATTAGATTAGAATGGCTCCGGAAGACATGGAGAAGACCACTTTCGTTACGCAATGGGGCACCTTTTGTTACAAGGTCATGCTGTTCGGACTAAAGAATGCAGGGGCAACATATCAAAGGGCTATGGTAGCTTTGTTTCATGATATGATTCATCATGAAATAGAGGTATATGTGGATGATATGATTGACAGATCTCAAACTGAAGAGGAACATCTCGATCACCTGTATAAACTATTCGAAAGGCTGAAAAAGTACAAGTTGAGGTTGAACCCTAACAAGTGCACATTTGGAGTACGATCTGGAAAGCTTCTAGGTTTTGTTGTCAGCAATAAAGGCATTAAAGTTGATCCTGCCAAGGTAAAGGCCATCCAAGAAATGCCATTCCCCCACTCTAAAAAGGAAGTTAGAGGATTCTTGGGTCGTCTCAATTACATCGCCAGCTTCATATCTCACTTGACTGCTACTTGTGAGCCAATCTTTAAACTCTTGAAGAAAGATCAAGTAGTCAGATGGAATGATGAATGTTAAGCTGCCTTCCACAAAATCAAAGAATATCTATAAGAACCTCCTATTCACATGCCTCCAGTTGAAGGAAGACCCTTCATCATGTACTTAACAATACTAGAGAACTCTATGGGGTGTGTTTTGGGCCAACATGACGAGTCTGACCAAAAAGAGCATGCTATTTATTACCTGAGCAAAAAGTTTACCGATTGTGAAACCAGATATTCACTGCTCGAGAAAACTTGTTGTGCTATGGAATGGGATGCTCGCCGGCTAAGACAATATATGTTAACTCATACCACTCTGTTGATTTCTAAGATGGACCCAATCAAGTACATCTTCAAGAAACCTGCTCTCTCCAGACGGATAGCCAGATGGAAAATGATCTTGATTGAGTACGACATTCAATACACTACATAAAAGGCCATCAGAGGAAGCGTACTAGAAGATCATTTGGCCCATAAAGCTATTGATGATTATCAGTCCATGAACTTTGACTTCCCAGATGAGAACATCATGCTGGTGACCGACTATGCGAAACCTGGACCGTATGACAGACCTGAACAAGGATCACGATGGACTATGGTCTTCGATGGGGCTTCCAATGCCTTGGGTAACAGAATTGGCGATGTGATCATTTCCCCTGGAGGTTGCCACACTCCTTTCACTGCCAGATTATGCTTTGATTGCACTAACAACATGGCCGAGTACGAAGCATGTATTTTGGGTCTGAAAGCTGCCATTAATTTGAGGATCAAGAATTTGAATGTGTTTGGGGATTCCTCTCTAGTGATTAGCCAAGTAAAATGAGATTGGGACACTAAACACCCTAATATCATCCCTTACAAGGAACTTGTGTTATCCCTGATTCCTTACTTCGAAGAGATCACCTTTGAACACTTCCCTAGGGAAGAAAATTAGTTGGTCGATGCCTTGGCAACCATGTCTTCAATGTTCAAGGTCAAATGGGACAACGAAGCTCCTATGATTATAATTGAGAGATTTGACGAACCTGCACATTGTTGTGAGCTTGACACTGACGCAGAAAAGCCATGGTACCATGAGGTGATAAGATACCTTGAAGTACAAGAGTACCCTGAGGGGGCATCCATCAATGACAGAAAGTTCTTACAAAGATTTTCAGCCAAATTCCTCCTAAGCAACGGAATTTTGTACAAGCGCAACCATGATTCTACTCTACTCTGATGTGTGGACAAGAAGGAGGTAGAGGAAGTTATGGAAGACATGCACGATGGTCTCTTTGGTACTCACTCAAGCGGACATACGATGTCCAAGAAAATCCTAAGAGCTGGCTACTATTAGTCAACAATGGAGACTGATTGCCATCAACACTCTAGGACTTGTCACAAATGCCAAATCTATGCTGACAAGGTCCATGTGCCTCCTATCCCTCTGAATGTCACGACCGCTATGTGGCCATTTGCAATGTGGGGCATTCACATGATTGGAGAAATCAAGCCAATCGCTTCCAATGGACATTGCTTCATTTTGGTCGCTTTTGATTATTTCACCAAATGGGTCGAAGTCGTCTCGTTTGCTTCAGTCACCAAGAATGTGGTAGCCAGATTCATCAAGCATAACCTCATCTGCCGCTATGGATCCCCGAAAGGATCATCATCGACAATGGGACTAACCTTAACAATGCTATGATTACTGAGCTTTGTACCCAGTTTGAGATCAAGCATCACAATTCTTCTCCATATAGACCTAAAATGAATGGCGCAGTTAAAGCAGCCAATAAAAACATCAAGAAGATTATGCAGAAGATGGTAGTGACCTATAAGGACTGGCATGAGATGTTACCGTTTGCTCTTCACGGCTACCGCACTTCAGCTAGGACATCAACTAGGGCAACTCCCTTTTCTTTGGTCAATGGCATGTGTAGCGGTGAAAATCGGAGATCAAGCTATTAATTAACTTGACTCGCAAAAGCAAGAGTCGCCACCGCGCTTTATTATTTCCAAGGGAAAAGGGAAAAGAGCGAAATAAAACCCTAAAATATGCAATGTAAAATAATACTTAAAAGTAATAAAATACAACGCGTTTTTGAAAAGAGATCGAGAGTTCGGGGGTTGGTTATACAATGGGAAGGTATTAGCACCCAATGCATCTGCGGTACTCCGCAGGAACCTTTTGAAATATCTGTTTTTTTGGTTTAAAATTGTTTGTTTGATTAAAATGGTTCGTTTGGCTAAAAATCGGTGTTGGAGAGATTTTGAAGATGCGACGACCTAGTGTCGAAGTTTTGACATAAAAGGTGTGAGTTTGAAAATGGAGTCTTTTGGGAAAATTATCTTAAGCAAAATAGTAAACAAACAAAAAATGAATGAGAGTATTCACACGATTGGATGAGATGTGCTTGATGACGTGAAGTCAACTGAGTTGAAACATTTCCCTTGGAATAAGCAAAATAAAATGACATCAAAAATATAAACATTCAGAAGTTCACAAGAAAATAAATCTGACAAAAACAAATTAATGATCAAGAGGCACCGAGAAATTGAAATGACAAAGATATTTAAATAAATAAAGTAAAAGAGAATATAACTAATTATCTAAAGAAGTTATTTAAACTATATTAAAAATTTAAGATTACTTACTAAAAAATTCTAAACTAACTACAAATTCTGAGGTTGCAAAAATAGTTCTAAAATTACTAAATTAAATCTAAGCTAAATTAAATATTTTAAAATTAGTAAATTAAATCTAAACTAAATAAAAATTCCAAGGTTGCTAATCTAAAATAAAAAAAGTTCCAAAGTTACTAAACTAAATCTAAATCAAATAAAATTCTAAAAGAATATTAAACTAATTCTAAACAACTAAAATTCTAAACTTGTTAAACTGATTCTAAATCGAATAAAGTTCTAAAGTCCTTAAACTAAAACTGACAACTAAAATTCTAAAGTTAACTTAAATAAAATCAAATAAAATCAAATAAAATTCTAAAGTTTACTAAATTAAAACTAAAACAAAATAAAATTCTAAAGTTTACTAAGTCAAAAACAAAAACAAATAAAATTCTAAAGTTTACTAAGTCAAAAACAAAAACAAATAAAATTCTAAAGTTTACTAAGTCAAAAACTAAAATAAAACTCTGAAATTTACTAAGTCAAATCTAAATGAAATAAAATCCTAAAGTTACTAAAATAAAACTAAAATAAAATTCTAAAGTTTACTAAGTCAAAACTAAACAAATAAAACTCTAAAATTTACTAAGTCAAATCTAAATGAAATAAAATCCTAAAGTTACTAAAATAATACTACAACACATAAAATCCTAAAGTTTACTAAACTAAAGCTAAAACAAAAAGTTATAAAATAAATCTAAATTAATACTAAACTAAATTAATTCTAAACTAAAGATTAAAATTCTAAGACTAAATTAAAATTCTAAAGTTATTAAGTTAAATCTAAAATAACTAAAAAAAATAATTCTAAAGTTACTAAAATAATCCTAAATGAACTTAAAATTACTAAAATAATTCTAAACTAAAATTATTAAAATTTGTTTAATTGAAACTATATGTTTCTTTCTAAGAAACTAACTAACCTAATTTAAATAAATTTAACTAAGGAAATAAAACTAAAATAAATAGCATGAAATTGTACCATCTCTCCCTCTCGCGACAATGACAGCAGGTGCCCACTTTTCAGCATATAAATCACGAACAAATCCTCCAAGTGCATCCGCGGCAGAAGCCAGTTCCTCTTCACTTTTTGCAACTGCATTTCCTCGTCCATCATAAGCTAGTCTCCTACTCTTGATCAAAAGAGGATAGCCAAAAAGTTCCCCTGTTTTTTAGCACCTTCAAGATCATCTATCTGCATAAATTCAGGAAGTGGAATGCCATGCTTAGAGAAGTGAACCTTTTGCAGATACTTATCCTCTTTGCAAATTCCTCTACTGTTGCACTGTCATCAAAGCTTCCTCGTGCACACCGGTCACCAAAACAATCCATCCTTCAATGGATCTCTGAGGTCCAGGACCGCCCTCGGCGGTGAGAGTATCAAAACCAGAACCAGTGAGATGCGAGTTACGGTTAGCGGCGGAATCAGAATCCTGACAGAAACCACGGCCTTTCATCTTCTTGGGAACGGAGAGAGTCGAAGAAGCGGTGATGGCGGATTTGAGTTTAGGATGAGGATTGCATGATTAGGGCGGTGATACGGTGAGATTTGATGTCGCGAGATGATGCGGAAATTCGGTGGTGGTAGTTTTATGAACAAAGGTATTCAGTGGATTGAGGTTAGGATGAAGTGGGTTTATGGTGTTTGTTGGTTTACAGAGGAGATCGAGGGAGTATGAATTTGTTACAGTGAAGAGGAAGTGGGTTCGTGTGGGTATGTACGCGGAAGCTTAGCTGGTAGAAAGATGAACATATGAATGAGTATAATGATAGTAGATGGAATCAGATGATGATGGTGAAATGGAAGGCGGTTGTTAATGGGGATGGTACGGTGGGAGCATTTGGAAATGGGTGGTTGTGTAAGGTTGTTGTGAAGGGGAAAACGGAGAGGGTGGAGGTTGTGACTCCGGCGACGGGAAGACAGTGGTGATTGGAGTTGTTTCATCAGCGACCCAGTGAGGGATCAACACCTTCCGTGAGCAACCTCGTTAGAATGGTGCTCTGCGAAGATGCACTGGTTGTTTTGATTTTCTTAGATCCATTACTTTTTGTTTGAATCCACATTTGTTGCTCTGGTTTTGCATGATTGATAGTGTTGTTGTTCACTTTTTCAATTTAATGGCAGCTTTGTAATAGTTATGAGGTATTGTGATATGGATTATTGGAGATAAGGGACTGACACATATTGTTGTAGTGATTTTTGTGAAAAGTTTGGTTTGAAATGTTTACATGTTTTTTTGATTTGTGAAGAGAATGAGGCTTATGCTGATGCTGGTTTTCTTTGAGGAAAAGTGAGGATGAGGTCTTATGCGTGAGAAGAGAGGAATAGAGGGATGAAAAACATATACTGTGAATTGCCTTTTTTTTTTGTTTTGTTTTTATGTATTGATCCTCAATTCTTGCTTACAACCAATGAGAGCAAAGCAAAGTGGAACAAACATTTTTTATGACAGAAAAGCCCTCTAAAAATAAAAAGAAGTAAAAATCTGAAAGTATAAAAAAAACTCAATTTAAAATGATTTTTTTTGAATGTTTTATGAATAAAAAATAAAGACACAAAATGACCGAAAATGATAAAAACCGGACGAAAATTTATCCGAAAAAATAAAATGAACACATTAAAATAATCTACATGTCACAAAGATTAAAGAAAAAAAATACTCAAGAAGTCAAAAATCAAAATAAAATATCATACTAAACAGACGTTTAAGGTTAAAACGAGACTTCGAACTGTACCGAAAAATAAAGCGAGCATACCGTCATAATCTACGCGAAGCGCAGATTCATAAAATGATCGGTAAAAGGTGAGAACTTGAAATATTTTCTCGCTACTTTCCCGCATAGTGTCGAATCGCTTTTAACAGTCTGTCTATAAAACCAAAATATTTTTATTATCGACATATAAATAACTTGGAGCAATGCAACAAATGAGTAAATAGATAAAAATGCATGAAGCAAAATGCCGGGTATTTTACAACTGAAAGACGATGCAAACTTTGATTCAAACTGACTTTTCTGGTCAACTTAAATACGACTAATGATGCAAAAATGTGATGAATGAAGATATTTACTAATGATTGTGACCAAATGACAAAATACGATATGAAAGTGCGACTAAAAAAATTAGGGGCAAAACTTAGGGTGCAACAGTGTGCCTTGATGAATCAGTCTTCGAGAATCCACAATCAATCGTACTTCTGGCTTGGGAGACTCAAAACCTTAATTGAGGCGCGACACCTGATGCTCTTGATTCAAACTTGTCTCTGCACATGACACAAAAGAACATGAACATACACCTTTGTATGCGATTAGAAATTAGTGATACATATGCTAAAAATGTTCAAAACACTTAACAATCTTTGCATAGTCAAAGCTCGAAGGTGAGACGTTAAAAACCGACTGTATTTCGTGACCTTGGCTTATCTTAAAAATGCAAAAATAAAAATGGGATCTTAGGTCAAAAATTGGGGTACAACAGCATGGAAGTTGTTCTGCCAATGGAAGTTCAGATTCCCTCACTGAGGATTATGAATGAAGCAGGCTTGGGCGAAGACAAGTGGATTCAGACGAGATTGGATCAACTGAACTAGATCGACGAAAAGTGACTGGCTGTTGTTTGTCATGGTCAGACGTACCAAAAATGTATGATCACGACTTTCAATAAAAAGATCAAGCCTCGAGTATATCAAGCTGGCGACTTGGTGATAAAGTGCATCATTCTGCCACAAGGAGACCCCAGAGGCAAATGGACTCCCACCTACGAAGGGCCATTTGTTATCAAGAAAGTTTTCTCTGGCGGAACCATGATGCTGACTACCATGGATGGTGAAGACTTCCCACATCCTATAAACGCGGACATAGTTAAAAAATACTACGCATAAGAGACCCGCTAGGTTGACACGCCTAGGAAAAATAAGGGCATCCCGGCAAACCAAAAGGTTTGGGGGAAAATTAGGGATGTATGAAAAATATTGTACACCCGGCAAGTTGAAAACCCGAAATGGGCAACTTGGGCAAAATTGGGTATCCTGGTGGGCTGAAAACCTGAAAGAGCGGTCCAGGAAAAAGTGAAGGATTGAAAGTGTATGATTATGTCCCATGGAATCACCACAATTAACTTTATCACCAAGGTCCGAGTTCAAACGGTCCAAGATCGATCCAGTCAACTTCTATCAACGACAAGGGGATTTCGAAGACATTGGGGAAATAGTAGAGTTGGAGTGCAATGAGATCATTTTCATGTGGCTATTTGTTTTTGTTTTCAATCTTTGTTTTCCTTTTGACGATTTCCTCTTACTAGGATTTCCGTCTCTTTGTACAAAAAACGCTTATTCATGGGCAAAATATCAATACAAATATACTTTGAAGTGCAAAATTTCTGTTTTTTGTTTTGAATGCAAATTTGTCCAATGACTAAAATTGAACGAACATATGCATATGAACATAGTTAAAACTATTTGGCACATGTGTCCTGCTAAACAGTAATAAGCATCTCTCTAATGTATATGGAATATCCCCACAAAGTTATTTCATTAGCATTATCCCTATAAGACGGCTACAATAAACCAATCCTCAACAGAGTTACCCACAAAGTTTCTTTGCCCAGATTGATCTCCAGCCAAAGTCCCAATCTCTTGGCAGCTTTCTCTCCCAGCTATGTTGATCTTACAAGAAAAAGAACTCACCTCTTCAGAAGTTCATCAACATGGTTTATTTCCCCAACATAGTTTATTTCCCTAACAAACAACAAGATAACATAACTCCCCAGCCGAGCTTATATTTCCCAGGCATAGTCTATGTTCCCCAATTGAGTATATCCTCCCCAACTGAGGTTGTTATCCCCAAACAGAGTCTATCCTCCCCAGCTGAGCTTGTCTTCCCCAGCTGAGCATGTCTTCCCCAACTGAGTTTATCCTCTCCAGCTTGAGTTTGCCTTTCAGACTATTGCAAATCATAGGGCCACAACCCCTAATCCCCGGTGAAGTCGTCAATAAAACTTTTATATCTCCAAAAGATACTATGAACCCTGGACCCGACCAGATATTAGTACTTTTTTTTCAAGTTACTATGAAGCCTGGACCCGACCAGATAATATTCAACTTCTCAAGTCACTATAGAGCCTGGACCCGACCAGATGATAGTGAAAGCCTTTCAGATACTATGAAGCATAGCCCTAACCAGATAATAGTAAAATTTTCAAATACTATGAAACCTGGACCCGACCAGGTAATAGTTTAACTCTTCAAAGATATTGAAGAACCTGGGCTCAACCAGACCAAGGTTTAACTTCTTTTCCCCAATAGAGTTTGCCTATACCCCAACAAGTTACTGTGAAGCCTGGATCCGACCAGATATCATTTTTCAACTTCATCTTTTCAAGTAAGTTATTGTGAAGCCTGGATACGGACAGATAGCAATTCCCCTCAGAAGTTCGTTATGAAACCTGGAATCCGACCAGATAACTACTAAGTTCCCCAAGCGAGTTATTATAAAGTCTGGATCCAACCAGATGTCAGTTCAAATTCGTCTATTCAAGCAAGTTATTGTGAAGCCTGGGACCCGACCAGATAACAACTAGCTACAATCCCCACCAAGACACTATGGAGCCTGGACCCGACTAGATAATATTATAACTTTTCAAAAGCTATGAAGCCTGGACCCGACCAGATAGTAGTTATCACTTCAAGTTACTATGAAGCCTAGACCCGACCAGATATTAGTTCAACTTCATCCTTTTTAGCAAGTTACTGCAAAACCTGGAATCTGACCAGATAATAGTTAACTTCCGTGTCCCTAGTAAGTTGTTGTGAAGCTGAAATCCAACCAGATAACAACCTAACTTCACTTTCCCCAAGAAATTTTCTACAAAGCCTGAATTCGACTAGATAATAGTCAATTTATTTCTCCCCCAGTAAGTTACTATGAAGCCCAGATTCGAACACATAGCAGTTGACTTCCTCATCCTCATCAAGTTGTGAAGCCTGGATCCGACCAGACAACAGTTGACATTCAAGAGATATTCCCCAACGGAAGCATCTTTTCAACAAAGTTTGGAGATATGTATACTCTTCATCCCCAACGGTAATCTGGAATTCAACTTCCCAAAATTCCTCAGCGGAAGTCAGGGATTTATTTTCCCGGACAAACATACATCTCACATTCATACATCATAGCATATACATACAAAATGCATTTAGCATGATCTCATTCATCTTGAGAACATCATGTATACATCTATAATTTACTAACCTTTTGTCCCACATGTGAAACGTCAAATTTTTAGTATAAATCGACCAAAGATTTATGTTGATACTTCTTCCAGTATTTACCATCATTCCTCCAAATGGCATCTATAATCTCATTCCCAATCCATCTTTGAGTGCAAATTTCTGGGTATTCTAGTGTTCAATCATCTTCCACATTCAAGTCAGAAATGGAGGATCCGCCAATCTAACTCTTCAGGTTTAAGAAGATTGAACAGGGGCAGCTATTGTATCCCAAAATTTTCCCTCTCATTTATCAAGTAATCTCTCATGAGATCTCCCTTGGTTCAAGACTGCACAAGGTTTGATCAGCTCAAGACACCTCCTCAAGCACTGATGACTAAAAATTAGGGTTTGAGTTTGCACAAGGATAAATGGACTTTTAATGCCCCATATGACTTTCATGTATCATTTTGGACCCTCAAGATTGCTCATGTCAAGTTTCAAGTCTTGGATCACATTTTTGCTCAGTCAATTGATCAGTTGACCTAAAAATCAGTTGTATTGGGGAAAAGTCAATTGTGGTCAATTTACAGTCAAACTTCATAATTTTTGATCCATATCAACATCATGAACTCATATATGTCATTTGATCAAGTTTTTACCATAATTCCACAAGAAATTTGATCATATTATCAAAAGGGCAAAATGGTCAAAATTGGGGTTT